TGTGTGTGTGTGCGTTGTGAAGGAAAGGAAAAGTCGACGTGAATGACGGCCAGTCAGTTTTATAAACCACGAGCCGCTACTGTACGTCCTGTTGAAAATGTGTGTAACAATAATATAAAAACCTACCTACAAAAAAATGCGATGATGTGCACCAACATTTGTTCACTAATCTGTATTTGCTTTCTTAATAAGAATGTTCTTTCTTTGTGCTGTCTCTTTGAATTACATGTATAGTAGACTCCTTAAAATGCGATAAACTCAATTCTGCCTTGCACTTTGAAGACAGTAAATTTAAGATGAATATCTCTTAAAATATGTTCTTCCTTTTATTGGTGCCAACAGCTGAAGTTCATGCGTTCAAAGACCTCTATGGGTCCTGTGGGCCGAGGTCCGAGCAGATTCTACCGGAAACCTGGCCTGCCTGGTGCCACAGGACGCCCCCCGGCTCCCGTGAAACCCCCCAAGAGACAGATGACCCAGGTTGGAGGCACCATGGGGTCCACTGCCCCAGTGGGTCACGGCGTGGCTCCTCCTCAAGGTATGGTCCTAAAATACATCAATAGCAAGATGGTTTACAATTATATCTGGAGACAAATTTCTTAGGTTTTAGACAGTGTTATTGAAAGAGTCTTCTAGAATGTGCCATATAATTATTTTATGAAAGCAGGGGAGAATACAAAAAATCCCGCTTTATACGATAATTGTGCTTGAGTGTTTGGATATAAAAACGAATAATGCTTTTCTTTTGAAAAACAAGATTGCTTTGTTGAACATTGTTGTGAGTACAATTATATGCAAACCTATAGCCTTTTTCATAGTGGTCAGATCAGACAATGAAGAAGTAAATATCTACCTTTAGGGTACCAGTTCGAACAGATTTTTCGTTTGGAAAAAAAAAAAACTACTCTTTCAAAATGATATTCATATTGGATCTCTTTACAAGCAATCCGTAACCCACTTGACGTATTTTTTATGTTCCAGGTCGCGGTAAATTTGCGCCAGCGCAGAATTTGGCATCAGCACAACCGTCCTTAGAAATCAGTACTCAAGGAAGGACTCCCGAAGAACGGTTGGCTGGACAGAACCATATACGTGCTAAAGGAAATCCAAATCCTCAACACCAAACACACCCAAATGCACCTCTCACAGATCTAGGTCCTGGCTCAGCCAGACTGAGGGGCGTTCAGTCTCAACCAGAGCCTCGAAATAGCCACAAAGGAACTATGGATGACGTCATGAAGAGGCGAGCCGTCTACTCCAGCGCGTCGTCCTGGAGACAAAGATCAGTCACCTCTTTAGGGAATGACATCATCTTGAGTTCAACTTTAAAGCCAGTAGCGTCAACTAAAAAGGCGGGGAACAGCGTTGACCCCTCGATGACCTCTTTCGTCAGCGGACCGTCCACATTCCCAGCAAAAAGCAGAAGGGCTGGAAACATGCACGGCGTTGTGCTAGCTAACGGTGTGTCCGGCAGCAAGTGTCCCGTGCCCCCAAATAGGAAGCAGAAAATGAACATGAACTCAGAACTATCAAGTAAATAACACAACGTAATGCCATAGTACATACTTCTTTTGTTTACATGTGTTTTTGTCTGCGGTGCTACAATAACGTATTGAATAATATTTTATTTACAATTACATCTCCCCTGCCTCAGAAAAATAGAGACACCAAATACTTTGTACTGTCCTTTTGAATAAATATAAAATTAGGAGCCAAAATTCTCCGGACGGGATATTCACTGTGTGTAACAGAAAGATCTTCTTAAGAACGAATTACAGATGCTTTATACTTAAGTCTCTACTTGCTGTAGACCAAATTGTTAGTCTATGATTTCCACGTCTCTCTTTTTTATCCTTAATGTACTTCATCCATTTCTTCTTTCAAACGTATTTTCCTTCTCTCTCTCTCTCTCTCTCTCTCTCTCTCTCTCTCTCTCTCTCGCTCTCTCTCTCTCTCTCTCTAACTCTCTCTCTCTCTTTCTCTCTCTTTCGCTCTCTCTCTCTCTCTCTCTCTCTCTCTCTCTATATATATATATATATATATATATATATATATATAAATTATTTATCAAAAGGTTTGAATAACAACAAAATGTATTTTCTAAACAAGATAAAACTCAGAAAAACGTACAATGTGTCATATCCTTTACTCATGCCTCGAAGAAGGCTGAATATGTCATCAGTGGTATAAAAACAACAACTGTATAAACAAATGTTTATCAACATAACAAAGTTTATCTCTTTGTTGTTGGTGCTTTTTATATTCTACTACTTTTAAAACACACACACACACACACACACACACACACACACACACATACACACACACATACACACACTCACAGAGAGAGAGAGAGAGAGAGAGAGAGAGAGAGAGAGAGAGAGAGAGAGAGATACAATAATTAAGCAAAGTAATGACATATTGAGGGTGCGGTCGCGGAGTGGTTAGTGCGCTCGTCTCCAAAGCGGAAAGTTCCCGTTCGAGCCTCGGTTCTGACACG